GTGATTCATAAGAGAAAATTAAAAACCTACACCTTGAAACTTATATGACAATACAGCTAACATCTTGCAGTTTCTGGCATTATCTTTAAGAACCTTTCAGTCCCATTTCTATACTGCATTGTTTTCCTCACAAAATGTATTTTAAATATAAAACATTGAATGTTCATTGCTTCTTGATATCATTTTTATTCATTACCTGCTGGAGGCAAAGGGCACGGTTTTATACAGAATTCTCATTGAATGTCTTATTTTGCAATTTTATTCTGCTGCACGTTTCCCAAGAAATTATTTTCTTTCAGATGCAGATGTTCTCCTGGAAAAGTGATGCAGGGCGGTTTCCATCCCAGTCTCCTTTACATTGAGTTTTCTGCTGTGAGCACAGTCAGGGTGGTTTGGGGTGGGGGTGGGGAGGCATAGCTTGTTAGACACATTTTTAGAAGCCATTCAGACCTTGATCCCATCTTGAACACTGTGATCAACTGGGTGTCCCCAAAAACAGTGTTAAGTTTGAGATGGATCACAGATGACAGAGCTTTGGGTCACCATAGATCTGAGGGACTCATTCTATATGAGAAAGAACATTAGCAGGTAGATCCTATTTCATGTCTCAGGCCCAAAGTCAGTCCTATTCCACCCTGCTTAATGTCCTGAAAAACTAGTAGGTCAATACGTTTTCATCTTAACCTTAAGACCAAGCCATAAAAAAGCAGGGAGTGTCTTTTACCTTAATCGTTTTTCAGTGTCTCAAGTAGGTGGAATAGGATTGCACTTTGGCACTTCAGAGGTGAAATAGCATTTGGGCCAGTGACTTCTTATTCCCATCTTTATTGCTGAGCTGTTGATAAAAAAGCCACTGAACACTACTTCCCCTCTATGATGACAGAAAGTCCCAGTCCATATTGTGTCCCAGTCCAGAAAGTCCCAGTCCATTACCCCGATTCCTCAAGTTTACAGTCTAACCTAACATAATTGTTTGGTGCAGCTAGATAAACAATTGGCCTATTTTATCCTCTTGGCACCTAAATGGATTTAGGTGCTTACATGCAATCTGACTGCACTATGCTCAAGACCCTGAAAAAACTTGAATGCCAAAGGTGGATGGGGCCTCTCACTCCTCACTGCTTTTTGTGATTTATTAGTCTTAAGCTTAAGACGCCACCAGGATGCAAAAGTAGTCACATAAATGGTATTTAAGACCCTTGAGCTGGGTGAAATAGGATCACATTTAGGTGCTTAAATCCACTGTGGGCACGTGTCACATGTGCCACTATCACAATGTTGCTACTGTGCCCTGATTTAGTACTTCCAGTCCGCTGGGTGGCGAATTGGCTGGAGGGTCGTACCCAGAGAGTGGTGGTGAATGGGTCGGTACCGACCTGGAAGGGCGTGGGCAGTTGGGTCCCGCAGGGCTCGGTCTTTGGACCAATACTCTTCAATGTCTTCATCAGTGACTTGGACGAGGGAGTGAAGTCCAGGTTTGCGGATGATACAAAACTGGAGAGAAGTGGACACACCGGAGGGCAGGGAACAACTACAGGCAGACCTGGATAGGTTGGACAAATGGGCAGAAAACAATATAATGCAATTTAATAAGGAGAAATGCAAAGTGCTGCACCTAGGGAGGAAAAATGTCCAGCACACCTACTGCCTAGGAAATGACCTGCTCAGTACCATGGAAGTGGAAAGGGATCTCAGAGTCCTAGTAGACTCCAAGATGAACATGAGTTGGCAGTGTGATGAAGTCATCAGCAAAGCTAACTGCACTTTATCGTGCATCAGCAGATGCATGACAAACAGAACCAAGGAGGTGATACCTCCCCTCTATCAGGCGCTGGTCAGACCGCAGTTGGAGTACTGCATGCAATTTTGGGCGCCGCACTTCAAGAGGGATGCGGATAACCTGGAGAGAGTCCAGAGAAGGGCCACTCATATGGTTAAGGGCTTGCAGACCAAGCCCTACGGGGAGAGACTAGGGGCACCTGGACCTCTTCAGCCTCCGCAAGAGAAGGTTGAGAGGCGACCTTGTGGCTGCCTATAAATTCATCATGGGGGCGCAGAAGGGAATTGATGAAGTTCTATTCACCAAGGTACCCCTGGGGGTCACAAGAAATAATGGCCATAAGCTAGCAGAGAGCAGATTTAGACTGGACATTAGCTCTTTCCTGCCTATGCAGGGGGTTGGACTCGATGATCTATTGAGGTCCCTTCCGACTCTAACATCTATGAATCTATGAAAGCTCGTACTGTGCTGTACATGTGGCGCACGGTTATTTTAGTAGCTACTTTGCCATAGCAGCGTGCTATACCAGGGGAGCGCATCACTATGTTGAAGTAGCTGCTGGTCATATGTAGATGCCTGCAGATGCTATGTTACCATAGCGCATTGCTATGGCAATGTAGCGTCATGTGTAGACATGCCCTGTAAGAGGCAGAACAGGAGTTGACCCTAGGATTTGGTTATATGCTCAGCAGCTCTCACTTATAGCCAAGTTCTCTGATTACCAAGCCTAGAGAAAGCTAGCTGGTAGCCGTGGCAGTTGCACTGCAAGGTGGCACCCGAGCCCTAGAGGTAGGGGCAGGGGCAGCAGCAGAAGCAGCTGGAGGAGGGAGGGGGAACCTGGCAGCAGTAGCAAAAGTGATGGGAGCAGTCACCCAGACCAGGAGCCTGAGAGGTCTGCATGTTAATTCCTTGAGGGCTGCATATAGCCTGTGGACTGCCAATTGAACAGCCCTGCTTTAAAGTAGTCACAAGCTTGCATGATTTTGGAGTTAGTGCAGAACTACAGTATGAGGTAAAGTGAAAATTGGATAGGCAATGACACCAGAGAGCTCCACTGCCCATCTTGCACATCCACCATGTTTTCTCTTTGCCATTTCCTGATCAATTGTCCCTACCTGCCAGTGCCATATATTCTAATTCATTGCCTTCCTCCCCCATTGTCCTGCTTTTGTTAAAATTCAGTGCCTTTACCTGTGTCTCTACTTTTTCGCTCCTAAAAGAATTACATCTCTGGAGTTGGTTGTCAGGCTCCCTACTCCAGACACAGGATCTTCTAGGGTAGCAGAGACAAAGTGTTCTTACCTGTAGTAGAATCTGGGGAGGCAAATTGGTGCTGGATTGTTTCCCAGTCCCCTCTGCCTTGAATATGCTGCAGCATCAAAGCAAAGCACTCTGGGAAAGCTATGCCTGGGTGCCCCAGAATGCTGTCCACTGCAGTGTCACAGCATTTCAAGGGAGCATGGAACATAATACTCAAGAAGCAGCTTCTGAGCTTGTTTTTCATGAGACATAAAGATGAGGTCTTGGTCACGTGTGATTATTATGATCCCACGACACCTTCCATTAGGTTACAAGAGTATCAGAGCTGCATTGCAGCACAGATAATTACACTGTGCTTTCTGAAAGTCTCCCTCCAATCACAGTTGAAATTACTTCCTGAACTATGATTGTTATGCAGTATTGCTGAGTATTGTTAAAGTGTTGCCACATTCTACTGGGGGGAGACTGCATTTCAGCAGTGGGTGAGTAACTGGCATATTATGTCAGACACCCAGCTTTGGGATCCTCTGCTATGAAAGGCACTCTATAAATGGATGGGTTATTTTGTTAGAATTAAGATCTGCACAAGGTTCTAGCTGTGTGACTCATTAAAATGAATGAGAATCAATTGGTTGAAACTTCACATAGCTCTCTTTTCAAAGATATGGTTGTGATTGGAAGTCCAAAGATAATAGTCTTGAAATATCCTGCAAGCCCAGTTCCTAGGTGAAGAGAAGGAACAGTAGGGAAACCTTAGAAAACAATTAGCTAGAGAAGCCAGATAACTTTTGTGAAATCATAATCAACAAGTTTTCCACGCTTAATGTACTTTGGGATGTATCTTGTTAGTTCTCTGTAGATCTTCAAGCAGAGGGAGGAATTGAGGCATCAGAATTTTTATCTACCTGCCCAGCTTTTTAGCTAAGAGTGTAACCTATGTGACTGGAAACCTTTCAACACTGCTTTCTACATGGATTATAATTTAATATGTGCTAAAACTGACTCAGTGTTGCCTGCTGACTGTCTTGGGGATAAATGTCAAAATCTGCATTTAAATGCTCTGAATATTCTTGAGTGCTGCACATGTTTGCACTGAACTACAATCACAACTTTTGCTATACCCAGCTTTTTAAAACCTTAATACTCTTTTCAGTCCTTCTAGTTTGCCACCCTCCTGCCCCTTCATTTCTTCTGATTCCTTGATGAAAATCAGAGAAAATTAGTCATCAAAGTCTCCTTTTTACTGGTTCCATTCTAGTGATTTTTCTCCTAAATGTTAAACATTTTTATATTTTATTTTGAGTATACATATAACATGCTTGCCTGAATCCCTACACACACACACACACACACACACACACACACACACACACACTACAAAAAGTGGTCCCAACCCTGCAAAGATTCAGGCTTCTACAAAATTCTCAGCATGAAGGTTGTAGCCTTCAATGGAAGGACTCATGTACCTCAACCTAAGCAAGATGTGCATGGAGCCTATGGAAAAGGAAGCCTCTTAGCCATCACTTTGAACAGAAACTCAGCTGGGTGGAATGCTGTTACATAGTACACTGCAATCCTATGCCTCAACTGAGAATGGGACCATGAAAATGGTGAATACGAATAACATTTGGTGCTGAACTTAAAGGGGCAAAATAAAATCAACCCAACAGAAGTTCAGTCAGTGTGCCAGTGGGCTAACTTCAGTGCTCATTTGGAAAGCACCAGGACCATCCACAAAACATAATACCGTGAATGCTGCTTCAGTGCAGACTCAAGACAAAATAGGAGTTAAGTGTCATGAGTCACTATCAACAGATCCTACAGTTTGCTGGGTTTTCACTGAAGTTCTTTGACAAATTCTGACCAGGCGCAACAATGAAAATCTGACAAGATCACAACACAGAAATGATGAATTTGCAGATGAAAGCAGCTGAAAAAATCAACACGTGGGATTGCTTATAGTCGTAAAGCTTTTATTTTAATGCAAAATAAAACAGGTAAAATTTATATAGCCATATATAACAACAACAACAAAATTCAAAATCTTTATGTGGTACCAAAAAAATCTCATTGTGTGTTGAATTTCTCCCCCAAGACAAACAAGCATGATTTTGCAATTATTTTTATTATTCAATACACGAGTATAGTCAGATATCATAAACTCCCCCCCTCCCCGCCATGATATAATAGAAAAGTGACTTACAAACAGACCATTCTGTTTTATCTGATGATAGTAAACTTACAGACCCTGCACATAAAGTCAGAATTTTCTTGCAAACATCTGCAATCACGGGTGCAAGCTGGGGGCCTTATCCTGGGAGGTAAATAAGCACCCTGAACTGCAGGGGAAGCCTCAAGATGAGGCCCAAGAATAATAATCAGCTGGAATTCCCTCCGAATGCTGACTCTGTGAAAAACCAAATCTTTGAAGAAGATGCAGAGGTAGCACTTTCACTCTATAGAAATTAGGCAGCATTGTGATGCTTGTTCTGATTCAGGAAAGTAGAGTGAATTTGAGGTTAGGGCTGAAGAAGGGTGGTTTTTATTCTTGGTCCCTTCCCTTTTTCAGAAAGGCATCTTTGCAATGCCCATGGAGAACCCTCACAATAATACATCATAGTGGTAATATTTCCTTGCAGGCCAGTATCAGTGGATCACTAGTGCTCGGTCATTCAGAAAATCATCAGCTGCTATTTGTCTCTCTAAATCTTTCAGCTACACAGTCCGGTTGCTCCTTCACCAGGAGCAGAAACCCAGACTGTCCTCCATCAGCATAGTTGGGAAATCAAAGCATCCCACCTTGTATGTGAGTGGCTTTTTCCTGTTTACTTTCGAGTTACACTGTTGTGCAAATGTATTGCATTCTGTGCCTGCAGCAAACCCAAACTATCCCTGCAAGCCCAGCTCACGTCAGGAATGTTTTTGCTGGATTGTCACATTTCAGACAAAGGAGCGTGAGGCAATTACATGTCAAGAGCATTTCAGACTTGTAGTTTTTCCAAACATATGGACATATGGGGAAAAGAGCAACTTGTTACTTAACGGCTCTTTTAGATTTTGCAAGTGTGTATTTTCAACCGTCAGTTGTAGCACCTTGTGAAATCTACACGGTACATATTTTTCCACAATATGGTGCTAAAATCATACATTTTACATTGCAGAGAAGCAGACTATATATGCTTTAGCTATATGCTATACTTTGGAGATGTCGTACCTCTGCAAGATGTGAAACCAGTGCACTGCAGTTTCCCTCCAGAACGATGGCACTGCAGATTAATGAGATGTGCTTTAATACCTTTTGCTCCTGTCCCCAGCCAGGTCAGAACGTTCTTCCTTCATCACTCCCAGTGGCATGCGATGTGTCCATATATTACAGTCCTATCTCCTTTTCTTAGAAAAAGGAAGAAAGTCTCCATGAGGCAGAAGCATCATTTAATAGCCTTTTGGGTAAGATTAACTACTGGGAAGGTGTCCTGTTTGATCTGCCTGCTTTAACCAAGTGGTGCCATTGCAGTCAAGGGGAGCTGTTAGAAGGGTTTCAGGTTACACAGAGACAATTGAGCAAGCCGTTCAAAGGCCATAAATAACCCAGAAGCTGTTTCCATCCAGATTTTATTTGGCCCTGGCTTCTGAAATACTGTAAATGAGGTCTATAAGCTGTGCTGCGGTGGTATTTGAAGGGTTAGTAGGTAGTGATTTATAAAGCAGTAGCTTATATTCAGAGCTGTTCTTAATTGTGGCCTGGCTTGATAAAGCCACTGTCACAAACATATTAGTTTCTTTACAGCTGGATCAAATGCATCTGGGGTTATATTTCAAAAAAGGGAAAGGAAAGCATTTAAATTTGTTTTTCCTTCACTTTAAGTGGTCCTTCATGTCACTAGTAGCCACCCTGTGGCTGCCAAATCTTTATTGATTGAGAATACCAGAGTTTATACAGCTCTTTTGGAGAAGACCAATGCTGTACACAGCATGTGCCCATGCACAACACAGCGTGTTTACTTGTGGACAGAGAATGCCTCGTATTGGTGGATGGGCCACATCTCAACCACCCTGAGGTGTCCAGCCTGATATGCAAACCCATATTTCCTCCCAGTAGTTCTTCCCTCCTCTCTTACTGAAGAAGGACCCTTTCTAGGCATGCTGCTAAGACACAGGGCACAAGCAACAGGAAGAAGGGTAGGAATGGATGTTTTAACATATTAGCTTCATAATCAGTTGCATTTTCTCCCTTTTAGTTTCTCAAATCTGACAGGAAGCAGTACTGTCCCTCCATCCTTCCCCCATCCAAGAAAAAAAAAGAGGAATCCCACATTAGATGTGGACTATGGAAGTATTTCCCCCTGTAATACTAGATAATACTAGAGGCTGTCTCCCTTGTGCTGTCTCCCTTCTCTGTCTGGCAGACAGAGATGTGTATGAACCAAAGCCCCAAGGCCTGACATCCCGATCAATAGGCAGTATGGCTCAGATCAAACACTGTTAAACAAACCCATCTCAGTTGGTTATTGGGATCCAGATGGAAACACTCCCAGACTTCTAGGGTGTTGTCAATCTCTCACCAGTCTGTAGTGAGGCACTAATACATTAGTTAGGATTAAACTCTGATCCCTTTTAGTGCTATTAGGCTATTCGCCATGCACTGGTCTCTGCAGATCTCCTCTAATGAATCACTTTCCCAGGGATATCTACTAAAAAGGGCTCCCATCAGGAGGATGAAATTTTCATGTGCTATATAATTGGGAGGTGACCTGTGTAATACAGTTTGCAGCAGACCAGAGGGTGCCAAAAGGCAACAAAGAACTCTTGTAATTAAATCTCTGGCCAGGTCCAAGGTTTCTCCCTAAAAAAAGAGGGGCCTTAACTACCTTACAATGCTTCTAAAGGCAGTTTAAGGCACTGAGGAGGCTCAGAGCTAATGCGGGATGTGCTGCTAGGTTATTGGGGCCTGTGGTTACCCATGACGTTCTTGGCATGATAAATCATGGAGATCAGCTTCCAAGTCTCTGAAGTACTTTTAGACAAGATAGCAAATGACCATGGAGCAGAGCAGTCGCCACAGCTGGGCTGCACATCTCAAGCTGCCTTAGAGCATCTCTGATCTCCTGGCCCTGCACGCTGCCAAGCAGCACTGAGCCAACACTGGTGCCAAGATGGTGGAAGGGGACAGGCTTTCTCTTGTACCCTCTCTCTGCTCACATCCAGTGCACCTTCCCTTCGTGTTCCCTGCTTCCTCCCTCAGCTTCTCTCCTCTTCTTGCCTTGCTGTCTTGAAGCGATGTCATTGTTTAAAACGACTCTCCCTTCATTCTGTTTCTCTTGGCCACCACCTGTTTTTGAGCAAGCTCTGGGGTTCTCATTCTCTTCATCGTCGCTTTTTTAAAAGGAGGATCTTGATACATAACTGCCAAACAGGAAGGCTAAAAGCACCTCCCGTTGCCCTGTAGATCCCTGCTGAGGGGAACTGTGTTGTTTGGCACTTAGCACTGAACAGGCACTGCTGGTTGCTGAGCTTCCTTTCAATGACAGACAGCGGGCCCTGCATTAACAGGTGACAGTTCACATGACAGAGGCTCTGCAAAACAACGGCGACAGACTAGAATATAGGCTTACACAGCGGGCTCACAGTACCTTAACTGATATTGCAGAAGTTACCTTGATACAAAGCTAGCCAGAGTAGGGCAAGAACCTGTCTCTGCCCACCCTCATCCATCAAAGAACCTGATGGAGTAGCAACTTGCATCTGAATTCAGGTATGTTACACTGAAGGCTAGATCTTCAGCAGGTGCAAATTGGTTTAGCTCCCAAGGAGTCAAGGAATTTCAATTCATTGACAGCTGCTGAGAATCTGGCCCCTCAACTTTACATTTAAGAGCTATGCACTATGGGTGCTGACAGATGTGAATCCCTCCCCCCACCCAAAAAAACCCAAACCCCCAAAAACCACAGTGCTGTACCAGAAGAGGCATTGCATTAGTTCAACCTGGCTCCCCCGCAGCTGTATAGATTGGGTACTTCAGTGGCTTTTTAGCGCTTTTGTCTAAAGCTGATTCAGCTATTCAGCTATTAGATGAAATCACCAAAAAACCCTGCTGAAGCGTGTACCGAGCTGAAAGTAAAGCACTATTTGTTTTCCCACATCTGTAAGCAGCCTATGTGACTAACAAACACACATGCACACAGTCTCACATGTTATTCACTTAGTTCCCGAGTCCTTTATCATTGTCTTTTGGGATATTTCTGTCCAAACCCTCTACAGTGCGCAAGTGAAGTTGATAAAGTTAGTTTTAGTCCAATTGTGCTGCTTGCAATAAGAAAAAAGGAGGATCTTGATATGTGACTGTCAAACAGGAAGGCTATAAGATGAATGCTTCAACAAATGAGTAGAAAGAGGAAGACAAAGGCAAGATTAAAAATCTGCATCTGTGGCATTCTCAAAATATAAAACTGCTGGTTTGGATGTGCCTGGAATGTGGCTCCTAACACGGTACAAGACATCTGTAAACTCACTGATGCACGCAGCATCAGACTACACAAGATTCGCAGCTCCAGAGACGATCCTCTGAGGAAGGAAGCATTGTGCAGCATATATGTGTACTGTCACTAGAAGGCTACCGTAATATAATATGCCTGTGGGGTCACTCCAGATTGGACTCTTGTGACACTACCAGCCTTATCCAGAGGGAATGCTGTGCGTGCATGTAACTGGATGTGGTAGAGCCCTGAGCTGAGCTAAATGGTACACTTAATTTTCAGCTGTCACTTTTTATTTTTAACTGGTATTGAACACATTTGAATGTCTGGTACTTCAGACTTAAAAGATGCAGTACCTCATGTTAGCCTTGACACAGTCATGCTTCCCCATGAAAAGAAAACTCTGAGGAGCTTGGCTCAGTAAGAATGACTCCAGGGAAGATGTCACCCTTACCAACAATTAAACTTGCTGTGATCAACTGTGGAAAAGGTGATGTCAGGCACCCTCCTTCCCAGCCCCCACTGATGAAGTCCAGCTGGAGGCTATACAGCTGCAGTCATGGGATTCTTCTGCCTGGGGTCTTGAGGTCTGTATTGGTATTGATCTGGGCTGGTCCCACGGTGTCTTGCTCTGCCCATTTCATTATATGCTGGTGCTCGGTGCGACTGAGGAGGTGAAGGTGGGACATCTTGGCGGAGGGGTCCTTTGTGCTGTGTGGTTAGTGGTTGTGGTTGGTAGTACTGGGGGTACCGCAATTCTGCTACCCTCATGTCTTGTGCACGAGAGTAGTTTCCTTTAGAGAGGAGGACAGTGGGCTGCCCTCCTTGGTAGTAAGGAAGATCTCGCTCCTTGTATATCACTCGTGGTCCTGTTAAATACTCCATTGATTCTGCGGGTCCACGCCTGGAGGGGAAGAAAATGCATCTATCAACAAACAGCATTCCAAGCTAACAATACACCACTGTAGTTTGCTTGGGAAACGAACTGCCATGCCAGAAGTGACAGTCCCACCTGTGTCAAAACAGAACTGCCAGAGAGCAGCAACCTCTCACCTGCATGCTGCAAAATCTTTAGCACACCAGAACACCCCAAGCACCTTTTCCAAATGGAGAGCCCTGGAGCTCTTCAGCTCCCTAAACTATGATGTCTGCCATAATAGAATCAAAGATCCTTTAAACAACATATTTTTGACTCCATCTTATCTGAGCCTGAAGATAAACAGATAAGGTTGGCCCACAGCTGTGCAAATCCCAGAAGTCTAACGCACATCAAAATTCACACCTCCCAGCCCTGCCCCATTGTTTTCTTCCAGCATGTCAGACTATAAAACTCTCAAAAAACAATAGTTGGAAACCCTGGAACTCCTGGAAGTAACAACAGGGATGTCAGGATGCAGTACCTGTGTTTAATGGGCTAGCTGCCAGTGAGGTTTCAAAACCCCTCCTGTGATCTGCAGAGCCTGATGTTAAGACAGCTCTGTAACTTGTCTGCATCAATAAGGGTTTGACAAGCGCTGGGACATGTGAAAAAAACAACATGTGAACATGTAATCCCTGAGGATGTGCTATAGAGTCATCTCTGTACCTTTCTGTGTCTCAGTTCCAGGATTTACACTAATGGGGGATTGATATTTCTCCCTCGTGCAGTTTAACTTGTGATACTTTTAAATGGCAAAAATAATTGTTCTGCGTAGATAAGTCACCGGAGCTTCCCCTAAAGTTCAGCACAGCCAGGAGTTTTTTTTTTTACCACTCACAAATGTTCTTACACTTCTCTCAGGCAAAGCCTCCCATTGATGTTGGTGGGAGTTTTTCCTTGAGAACAAGCTGGCTTTCGACCCAAAAGAAAGTCTGAAAGTGTAAATCAATTTCACCTGCTCTGTGTGCACAAGACCAATCCTGTCAGCTGCTTAAATACATTTTTGTGAATTATCCATTTGAAAATCCCATCCTTACTGTTAAACATAGCAGTTATCTAATTGGTCAATGACTTTCCCTTTGTCCAGCACACCTCCTCTCTTTTGCTCACACAGCAATTTGCTCAGGGTGCTCCTAGCGTCTTGATCTGTGCTCCCCTCCCAGACCCCACTGACAATTGTTTTGCATGAAGTTAAATACATGTGGCTTTCTTGTTTAAGCCCATGGGGGAAATCACAGACATAGGCAATGAACAAACATTATCTGCCTTGAAATGAACCTACAACTCTCCCCCTGGAATAGCTTAGTGCAAATGTTTCCTGTTTAAAATGGAATGAGAGAAGGGAGGAATTCCAGGCCTTGGACTTTTAGGACCCTCTGTCCCCCAGAGACTTTTTACTTTTAAAACAGAACATTATAAAAGACAGGCACTCCTGGTTTTTCGTGAGACAGTCCAGACAAAGAGCTGAAGAGGTTGAAGCCACCCTCTGTGATACTAAAAGGACTCTTAACTCACGTGTGTGGAGACAAATGGTATCTCTACTCGTATACTTAGACCCTGCATGAAATCTAATGTACACAGCAGGCCAAAGAGTCGCTCCATATACTTCTCTTAGAGGTGGTAAGAATGAAGACAAAACCAGTACACTAGTCATCCCCACTGTGTTTTGCAAGGTAGGGCCTTTTTATGGTTGGACACCTGTGTTTCTGTGCATGAGAAATTATAAATTCAGAGCTGTTCTGTGTCAAGGGATAAAATAAGGGGAACAAATGTTAGTGTCAGACTTGCATTAGTTACTTTTTTCCACGAATAAACAGTCAGGTGACAGCAATGCTTAAAAAGATACTTGTCAAGATAATGCTTGTGTGTTTTAAAGAATATTTCCTGGCTGTTAAATTTCACCAGAATTTGTGTTAATCATATTAAAAAAAATCACAGCAATGTAAAAGTGCTTGGGACCTGACCCAAAGCAGGCTGAGGTCAGCAGGAGTCTGGGTAGCTTAGGAGTAAGCTCTCAGTGCAAAGTCAAATATATGGTGTTCAAATGTTTCAAGTTTAAATGGTGACAAAAAAGATTCTCTAGAATTTGCAATTAGAACAGCTGCTAGACTGAGCTGCCAGTATCATAAGTTGCACCTTCAACACATGTTCCTTGTGCTGAAGGGTCTGGATGTGGCAGGAAGGAGCGTTACACATTTATACAGCTTGAAGGAGCAGGAGGAGGCTGCAAAGCTTCTTAAACGGAGTGCGGGGAAAGGCTTATTTTTAGGATAGCAGAGTGTCTCTGGGGATGCTGGGATGTGTTTACCAAGAGAATGAAGGCACGGTAGTGTAAGCAGATAGACCCAACTGTACCTTTAACCCAGCTAGCACCAGTAACTATAGTAGTGAAGATGTGATCCAGTAGTCTGCATACAAGTCCACTGAGGACCCTGGACACATTTTCTGAGTGCTGGCACAAACAGAAGTCTGGCCTACTACATTGTCACCGTGCTAGCTAATGTGTGAATACCTACCAATGTTACAATAAGGACTTCCATTTCCTAAGGAGACACAGAGGACCATTAGGGCAGGCTGAAATCAGGTTCAGCCATAAAATGGCCCAGGGGTGACTGGTGCCTCTTGAGTGTGGGGAGGCACAATTTGTGGGCAGGCCCGGGGGCAGGCCAAAAGTCACATATCCACTCCTATACTTCTGTGCTGTGGCTTAGTGCCTTCTACCCCGCTCAACTCATTGCTGGCCTGTGCGGCCAAAATACTGCCCTGTGCTGAATGGTGTTGATCTAGGCGCCAATCTCAGCGGGGGCACGTGGCCCCACATGCCTCCCCTACCAGTTGCCTGTGAAATGGCCCCTACACAGGGTGCTCCCTTTCTGGATCCATCTTTCCCTGTTCTGTGACACATGACCATGAACACCACATGCCCCCGGTGGCTGGAGGGGCACGGCAAGCTCCTGCAGGTGGTGGCGGCACTGTTGGTGGTGGTAGCATGATGGCATCAGGCGGTGAGCTCCCACGAGCGGCCACGGCACTGTCGGCAGTGTGTGTGTGTGTGTGTGTGTGTGTGTGTGTGTGTGTGTGTGTGTGGGGGGGGGGGGGGGGG